TAGAAACAGGAGTGTCAGAAGTCAGTTCACTCTGAGATCCGGGTCAGTGTCAAGGACTCCCCATGCGTAAATAAAGGGTGACTTGCTGATGGGATACCAGCCTCTGTGGAGTTATTTCAGTGGCAACGAGAGAAAAGCACTGTCCTGACGAAATTCACTCGCAACAGTTGTCTTCGAGTTGGGGGTAAGCATTTCCAGCATCATGCCGTTATTTGAGAAGCTTGACTTGTTCAATTCTGCTGTCAAAGACTAGGCCCAGCTTGTGGAAAGAATACATTATCTCTTCTGGGCAAATGACATTAGGGCAGATGAAAAGCAATGAGTAATTCTCCCATAAGTGCACCCATAAGTTTTTCGGTTATTAGGCATCCAATTTTCCCAGGTACTCAAACCCTTCAAGACTTGGCTGATCTGTTGAGGAACATTATGACCCCAAGCCTCCTCTAGTTCTGAGAAGCTATTGATTTTACTCGGCAATTTGAGAACCAGAGGAATCTGTATCAGGATTTTTGATGAGGTTAAGGTGACTGGCAGAATCATGTGACTTTGGTTTAACCTTTAATGAGATGCTGAGAGACCATTTGGGATGTGGGATTAATGATGCAACCATGCAAAAGTGACTACTAGCTGAAGCCCAACTGGACTTCAAACAGGCACATCCCTGACTTAATCATTGCAAAATGCGGTAAGTGGAGCATATGAGTTACAGGATATTCTGATGGAAGTGGACACCCTCACCAGTCCGATTGAGCTTGGAGATCACCAACTGAATGAAGGCAATTGCAAGAACTCACTCAAGACATGTCCTGAACTGAGTCCCACTAGACCTAAATGGAATAAGAGAACTCATAGGCCAGTATCTAGGAGAGTGCACATCCTGGAGAGTCCACCTACATCTGATTTGGAACAGTCAAATCACTTTGCAACATCCAAATTGGAACTAATCAAAATAAAATTAAAATTAAATGGTAATCTGGGTCTAACGGAGTTCGATACAAATGCAGCTGTTTCAGTGATTGCAGAACCAGCCTTTAAGAATAATTCGCTTTGGACTCCAACCCTTACGTTTGTGCAAGACCTCAGCCAGACTGAGAACCTGTACTGGGGAACTTTTACAGATTAAGGGCACAACTTTGGTTCTGGTCTCTTATTGGAAGCAGCTGGTTCAGACATCACTGATTGCAATAAAAGGCTCAGATCCAAGCCTGATGGGGGGAAATTAACTGAGAGAGATTCACCTAGATTAGCTCAACATTTTTCAGTTTGAAAACGGCTGCCTGAGTGAAGGACTGTCAAAGGAACCAAAGCAACCTTGCATATTGACCAGGAAGCAATTCCACAATTCTGCAAGGCCTACCCAGTGCCATTTCCCTTACAGGAGAGTAGAGGCAGAAATCAGGAGACTGGAAAGTGAAGGAATCATCAAAACAGTCCAGTTTGTGGAATGGCTAGCACCTGTTGTACCGATTGTGAAGCCTGATGGGTCGGTTCGCCTTTGTGGGGATTTTAAACAAACAGTAAACCACTTTTTGCAGTGAATACCCAATCCCTCACATCGAGAATTTATACACAAAGCTGGACATGAGCCATGCATACATGCAATTGTGGTTAAATGAGATTTCCATAAGGGTTTGTACCAATATACGAGGCTGCCTTTTTGGGGTATCGTCTGCCTGTGCAATTTTTCAGTGGACGATGGAGAACATTTTATAAGGTCTACCCACAGGTCACCATTTATCTGGATAAATATGCTAATAACAGGGATGACCAGTAAGGAACACTTGAAGAACTTGGACATAGTCTTCAGAGATAACACAATGTGGAGTTGGAGGAACACAGCAGGCCAGGCAGCATCAGAGGAGCAGGCAAGTTGACAATTCGGGTCGGGACCCTTCTTCAGAAAATCATTGCTGAGAGTGTGTGCTTGAGGAGCCGCAGAGAAAACAGTTTTTGGAGGCTCTGGATGTTGTGTATGTAGAGGTTATTGCAGTCAGGTCCAAATTGAGAATGGCCTGAATGTAGATTGCAGTCCATTTGGGATGATCCAGTTCCATAGGCAGGTACTGAGCAAGGCGATGTGGCTGTAGTACTTGGTTTGCTTGAGTATGTGTTCGAAGAGTTTCAGGGCCGAAGAGGTTACCAGGGGGTTGCAGTGGGAGAGAGATCCACAGGGGTCTTTCTGGAGGGAGGAGGACAACTTCTTTAAGGTGGACATCCTTAGAAGAGGCCTCACAGTGGGGTTATAACTCACTCAGAGATAGTAAGGACTGCAGATGCTGGAGTCAGAGGTAACACAGTGTGGAGCTGGAGGAACACAGCAGGCCAGGCAGCATCAGAGGAGCAGGAAAGTTGACGTTTCGGGTTGGGACCCTTCTTCAGATGTTTCTCTACCTTTACTAGATACAAAACTATCGCAGTTCCTATTTGATTATCGGATCACCCGCCATGCAACTACAGGGGTAGCTCAAGCAGAGTTGCTCATGGGGAGAAGACTCTGCACCAGATTAAATCTGATCTTTCCAGATCTGGTGGGGGGAGGCTGAAATGGCATCAGAAAAGCCAATGCTGGACACGAGACTCTGCTAAGCGAGAGAGACACTTTACTTCAGGGGATGAAGTTTGGTGTCGAAACCACAGGAATGGCCCTGCATGGGCAAAAGGCATGGTTGACGTGAGGTTAGGTCTGGTGATGTATAATGTTTGGGTAGGTGTGACAATCCTGAACGAACTAAATGGACCATATGAAAGCTGCAAACTCATCAATGGAGTGGGACCAAAATGTTCCCGGCTCCTCAGCTGCCTTTCCAACTGTTCCGGAACCCATTCTCCATCACACATTGTAGAGGCCTCGGAATCTGAGATAAACTCGGTGGATGTTGCACCTTGATGCCTGAAGAGGGGAATGAATTTCTCCTGAGACCCTCTGGGTGCGAGGGGTGAGTTACTGTGTGCTACATCTCAGAGGCAGAGGTGGAGGAAGCTGACCCGGCGCTAAAACGCTCCAGGAGGAGGAGCTACAAAACAAATTGGCCTATGTCCTTGGACTCAGAGGGGGAGGGATGTGCTGATTATGACAATGTGGACCTCATACAATATGAGTCCCCTGATTGGGGCTGTTAATCTGGTCTAATCAGGAAGCCCTGGCTGACAGATATAAACAGCAGTGTCAGAGGTTCTGTTCACTCTGAGAGCTGGCTCTGAGGGAGCTGGGTCAGTGTCAAGGACTCTCGACGTGTAAATAAAAGGTGACACGGTGATGGGATAATGGCCTCTGTGGAGTTATTTCACATTCTAGATCATGAATGGTCATCTGCTGCACTGCCATTATCCCCCTGTCTGGGAAGAATGTTACATCTGGTTGAAATAGATGAGGGGAAAGGATTGAACAAAGCTAGGACAGTGGTCTGCTTAAAACTCCTGAGGAGTACTGTCTGGGAGCTCAACACACAGGATTTTCATTACAGCTCAAACGGTGAAATGAGTCCGGATGAGAGCTTTCTGCTGAGGCTCAGTCATTGGGCCCTGGAGAGAATGAACAGCTACTCCAGGGCCCCACACAAGTCTCAGACTAATTTTCTCCACCTCTGGGCAAGGCCCAAATGGCTAAACCCTTGGACCGATCAAAGAAGCAGTGAGATCAAGGTGGGGTGGAAGAGGTGAGGCTCTTTGAGGGTTCACAGGGTCCCAGGCCAGTTTCGGCACATTCTGACAGTCCCCTGCCCCATGGGAACAGCCACAGATTCTAAATCCAAAAAAACATTCAAACCTGAAAACATTCTCGAGTAAATATCGAGGTTGTTTTTTTTTTGGTAACTTTACATCACAAGGCATCATGAACAAATTGAGCAGCCTTTGGAAGAAATACCTGTGTTGAAATAACCCAGTGCAGATTTTCAGGAGGTTAATAAGACTATTACAGTGAGCTCATCACAATGACATGCTCAGTGACTTTACAGTGATAAATTAAGTTAAAAAGGAGCACAATGGAGCTGGGGTGGGGGGGCACGCACAAACATTTTTGAGGTGTGCTAGCCATTGAAGCATTTTTTCAAAGTGTGGTCATTGTTTTGTGTAGGAAATGTGGCGACCAACTTGTGCACAGCAAGCTCCCACAAGCAGCAATATGATTAATCACCAGGTCATCTGTTTTAGTGATATTGGTTGAGGGATAACTATTGGCCCGAGCATTGGGGAGCCTCTTCAAATCTGCTTTGTGTGTTCTTTCATGCCTACCTGGGAGGGCAGATTTTGTCTCAGTTTAATAGATTGCCCTCAAGAGAAGACACCACCTCTGACAGTGTAACTCCCTCCCCAGCAATGAATCCAGAGTTATCAGTATATACCTGCAGTGGGGCTTGATCCTGCAACAACATCGGGCTCAGTGCCAAAGCTTACACCTTCACGGTTGAATAGCATGCCAGCAGTCACAGCAGGGATAAGCTTCACATCTGGATCCACTGCCAATCTTCTGAGGGAGAAGTGGGGCTCAAAAACGTACCTGACTCTCAGTACCCATTTGGAATTCAGTCCTGTTTTCCAGCCAAAGAAACATAGGCCGTTATAAATCAACTTGATCCCAATAGTTCACACAAATGGGCACCACCGAGGTGAAGCCAATTGCAACAAAAAAAACTTGCCAAACTCCTGGAGTTTGCACTAAAATAGTTGGCTTACCTAAGTCAGGTGGCAAACCGAAACGTCAGCCTTCCGGCTCCTCTGATGCTGCTTGGCCTGCTGTGTTCATCCAGCTCTACACCTTGTTATCTCCTAAAAACATTGTCTATTCTTTTTTCTTCAAAACAGCTTGGTTGGTTTGGGGAGGGGAGGGGTATAGGGAGGTGTGGATGTTGGGTTTTAATTTCTAGTTCCCACCCCCGCCTTCTCAGAACTGGGAATGTGGACCCAAACCTTGGGCCAATCACACGGTCTGGTGACAGTAATATAAACCCAGGGCGAGTGAACAGAGCAGTCAGAGCTCACAGAAGCAGCAACATCTTATACTGACTACTGGACACCAGCAATCCTTCTAAAAAGTTCTCAGCGTTTAGTTCTTTTTAGTTTGGGGCCACAAAACAAAATCTAGGATATTAAAATAGAGTCAGTGAGATCAACGTGACAGTGGGAGAGGGAAGAATGAAGTTGGGAAAAGTTCCCTTGCTCCTATGCCTGCTCGCCTTGCAGCAATCTGTTTCTGTTCAAGGTAAGGAAACTTTAAATGTTTGAAGTGATTTAATAATCCTGAATGTTAGTGGTCCCCACCGATTAATCCCCTTTAAGAGGATCCGAAATTCCTCGGATAAAAGCCAGTTCCATCGAGACCAGCTCAGAAAGCTCCATCTAAACTGTCTTATTAATAGTTGTTTATCAATGATTCCCTTCCCAAACTCCCTGACCTGATGGGAGTCGCATCCCAGTGGGGCCCTGGAGATTGCACAGTTCAGTCAGAGCTGAGGAGCTGCTTCCTTTCGCAGTTCCCCGGCTCCTTTGCTCAGTGGGACGCTGGGGTTAAACCTGGGGGTTTGCTGAAAAGGGTCAGTACAGGAGACACGCGGCTTTCCAGAGAGCCCGGTCTAGCTGGGAGAGTCTGTGCTTAAAAAATGTGTCCGGGTTAGGACAGGATCGGACTTTTCTGCGATGCCTTCCGAAGTCAAATAGCCGCCTGGGTCTAGCGCGTGAATGACGCGCTCCAGGGAAAGGTGCTAGGTGGCTGCTTCAGGAGAAGCTCGATGTAAACGAGCCAGTGTTTATATGCAGTTAGCTTTGTTTTTACACAAGCCTGGGATGCGCAGAATTGTTATCATGTGGCTCAGCAGTAATGTTATCAGACTTTTGAATGGACCTTTTTAATCATAGAATCGCTATGTTGTGGAAGCAGGCATTTCGGCCCATTGAGCCCACACCGACCGTCCGAAGAGTACCACACTACCCTATCTCATCCATGTAAGCCTGCATTTCCCACGGCTAATCCACCTACGCTGCACATCTTTAGGAAACCCACGCTGGTAAAGGCGAGAATGTGCAAACACACACACAGTTGCAGGAGGCTGGAATCGAACCCGGGTTCCGGGTGCTATGAAGCCGCAGTGCCGCCCCATGTTAACGTTAATGTTGATCTCTTTCTGCCCCTTCTGGGCAGATGTGACACTGTGTCCTGCTACCCTAATGGACTTGTATAGTCGGAACTGCCTGTAAAGGCAACACTTTTCACGGTATCTTAGTACATGTGACAGTAATGAATCAATAATGTCCCTATCTCTGATCCAGGAGATCTGGGTTCAAGTCCCACCTGCTCCAAAAGTGTGTAATATCCATTTGAATAGATTTGTTTTTAAATGGGGATAATTAACAGGACCTGCTGAGTCTCTCCAGCACTTTCTGTGGGGGGAAAAAAGGCAGATACCTAACAGTGACTTGCCATAAATTAAGATTTGATTGGCTTGAGGAAGTCACAAGGGTATTAATTTGACTTGGTCAAAATTAGAATGGATTTTAAATGGGTCAGTATAATGACAGGCTAAGGATAATGGCTAGGAGCAGCTCTGTACAGCTCCTGAAATACATTTTGATGAGCAGTCCCAGTTGCAATATAAGGAAATAGCAACCATACTGTGCACAGCAAGCAAGACTACCTCATATCCTTAAACCAACACCATTAAAATATAGATATAAGCCAGCACAGCAGGGAGAACTCGAGAATAGTTGATCAAATAGTGTGAGGGCAGATGACTTGGGTTTAATATCTCATCTGAAAGACAGCGCCTCCCACAGTGTAACTGTGGGAGTACTAGCTCAGTCTCTGGAGTGGAACTTGGACCTCCAACCTTCTAGATTCCGAGTCAAAAACAATAAGCCACAACCAACAACTGAAGGGAAAGCAGGATGCAAATCTTTGAGGTTTGACTTTTCCACAGTGCAGTGTCAGAAACTGAATTTTTTGGTAACCAGCAAGTCATTGGTTTAAATTTCTTGCAAGGGAAACAGAAGAAGCTGGTAATGTTACAGTTAAACTTATTCAGTCCCTCAGCCCCCTGTTTCTAGTTTCTCTAAGAAAGATGAGGAATTTGGGTTCTCACCGTGCCTTGAGTCACCACTTCAGAAGGTTCCAAAGGTTTTCATGGATACTGCTGTCATTTTTGGGGACTACATTCACTGGAAAAATGCAGCAATTTGTAGACAGTAAGATCCCACAAGCAGCAATTAGATTCTGATCAGATAATTTCAGAATGAAAATAGATTATTAACCATTCAATAAAGTGATGGAAGGTGTCAGTAACAGCGCTATCAAACAGCACCTGCTCAGCAATAACCTGCTCAGTGACGCCCAGTTTGGGTTCTGCCAGGGCCACTCAGCTCCTCACCTCATTACAGTCTTGGTTCAAACATGGATGAAACAGCCGAATTCCAGAGGTGAAGTGTGAGGATGATATCAAGGCTGCATTCAACCAGGTGTGGCATCAAGGAGCTGGAATCATTGGATATCAGGCGGCAAAATCGCCAGTGGTTGGAATCATACCTGACACATAGGAAGATGGTTGTGGTTGTTGGAGGTCAGTCATTTCCGCTCCAGAACATCTCTGCAGGAGTTCCTCAGGGTTGTGTCCTAGGCCCAACCATCTTCAGCTGCTTCATCAATGACCTTCCCTCCATCATAATGTCAGAATTGGGGATGTTCGCTGATGATTGTGACTCCTCAGGTACTGAAGCAGTCTGTGTTCAAATGCAACAAGATCTGGACAATATTCAGGCTTGGGCTGACAAGTGGCAAGTGACATTCACGCCACACAAATGCCAGGCTATGACCATCACCAATAAGAGACAATCTAAACACCACCCCTTGACATTCAACGTTGTTACCTGGGGGTTACCATTGACCAGAAACTCAACTGGACTCACCACGTAAACACAGTGGCTACAAGAGCGGGACAGAAGCTGGGAATACTGCAGTGAGTAAGTCACCACCTGACTCCTCAAAGCCTGTCCACCATCTACAAGGCACAAGTCAGGAGTGTGATGGAATACTCTCCACTTGCTTGGACGAGTATATCCCCAACAACACTCAAGAAGGTTGACACCATCCAGGACAAAGCAGCCCGCTTGATTAGCACTACATCCATAAACATTCACTCTCTCCTCCACCGACACTCAGTAGCAGCAGTGTGTATTATCTACAAGATGCACTGCAGAAATTCACCAAGGTTCCTCAGACACTGCCTTCTAAACCCATGACCACTTACATCTAGAAGGATGAGGGCAACAAGGTACATGGGAATACTTCCCCCTTCAAGCCACACACCTCCTGACTTGGAAATATATTGGCATTCCTTCAGTGTTGCTGGGTCAAAATCCTAGAACTCCCTCCCTAAGAGCACTGTGGGTCCTTATACCACAACCCTGCCATGGACTGCAGTGTTTCAAGAGGCATATCACTCCTGCCTTCTCAAGGGCAATAAATTCTGGGCCTGCCAGACATGCCCACACCCTATAATGAATATCTAAAACTAACTCCAGTCCGATGTATTTGAATCATAAGTATCCTCTGAGAGGACCAAGCCCCTTGGTCTCATCAAATTGCTCAGAGTCATGGAGTTTCAAGAAAGATGCTCATCAACAGCACCTGTTCATGGAAGTGGGCAGGATGGGGTGTTGGGGTCGGAGTTGAGGGGCTGGTGAATTGGATTTGATGGAGGTCTCAAAAGGATGAAGGATTTGGACACAAGTTTCCAACAGATGGAAGGCCATTGACCAGGGGCACAGATTTAAAGTGATTGGCTAAAGAACCAGAGGTGACATGAGTACAGTGCTTTGTATGTAACCATTTAACCTTAGATAACAAGGTGTAGAGCTGGATGAACACAGCAGGCCGAGCAGGAAGGCTGACGTTTCGGGCCTAGACCCTTCTTCAGAAAGGCCTGAAACATCAGCCTCCCTGCTCCTCTGATGCTGCTTGGCCTGCTGTGTTCATCCAGCTCTACACCTTGTTATCGCAGATCCTCCAGCATCTGCAGTTCCTACTATCTCTGAAACCATTTAACCTTGTCGGGTTTGGAATTCGGGCTGTGTCCAGGTGGATACAGATCCAATAGCCTTCAAAAGCGAACTGGAAGGATAAAAATATTGAGTGGGACACCGGGATTAGTTTTTGACAGCACTGGAATAGACCCGTTGGATTAAATGACCTCCCTCTGAGCTGAATTTTCCTGAATTATCCCATCATTCTATTGAATGTTAGCCTCAATCAGGGACTCCCACATCCCATGAGTTAAACAAAAGAAAATAAAAAACTTACTCCAGATTTTGAGGAATTCTGGTATTTGTCTCCAGCCTGTTCCTTTCTAACTTGAGTTCGCTTCTCGGGGTTTTTTTAAAAAAAAAAAAGTCTAATCATCCAATTCAGGTTGAGCAATGAAACAAGGTATGAACCTTGTGTTCAATAAATGATTATAGATCATTTTAAATAGACTTTGATTTCAGCAAGTGGACAATATACTTGGCAGTACAGGGCTGTTCAATAAGTAGCAGAGAGACTGCAAGAAGATGAGATTGTTATCCTACAGCACAGAATGTTGGCCAGAGATTAATGGAGATGATTGAAATCAGGATGGATTTTGAAAGGGTCAATCAAGAGAAATTTCCTCCATTAGAAGGAGGGTCAGTAGCCAGATGTACTAACAGTTTTAGATGCTTGGCAAAAGAACTTCAGAGAAGATAAAGAGAATTTAGTTTTTTTATGGAGGGAATTGTTGTGATCTGGCATGTGCTGCCTGAATAAGGGATGGAATGCATTCAAAAAAATTTCAAAACTGAACCAGATAAATACTTGAAGTTAACATTTTGCATGTCTATGAGAAAGGAGCAGGGAAGAGTCTAACTAATTGGCATTTCTTTCGAAGAGCCAGCACAAGTGTGATGGGCCAAGTGGCTGCCTCATTAATCGAATCCGCGAAGATTTCATTCTACTCACTTTGTCCTGTTTCTGAGTCACTAAAAATGCACCAGGTTCAAACAGAATGATTACACACTAATGGAGACCATTTGGCCCATTGTTTACACCAGCTTTCTGAATGAGCGAGTCAGGTACAACATGGGATTAGATACAGAGTAAAGCGCTCTCTACCCTATCCCCATCAAACACTCCCAGGACGGGGATAGCACGGGGTTAGATACAGAGTAAGTGTTTGTACACGGGGATATACATAAATCCATGCACAATTTTTGGAATTTTAATCGAATCTTTGGAGGATGTTTTAAGGCTTCCACCTTGCAACATGTGCAGAGGTTATAAACCCCCAGCTCCTGATCACTTTACAGCCATGTGGATGATCCTACTGGGTCGTGGATCTTGTATTTTAATCAACTCTTTCTGAAATTCTCTATTTCTAGCCGCACTTTCCACAGCTGCTGAACAGAATCAGCCCAGAATCCAGAAATGGCAACAGATTCGGAGGAATCAGAAACAAGGCCACAACGAGATTCGGCACCTGAACCCAGGTAAAGGAAATGCACCCAGTCGCGACCCCTCTCACCATTCCATCGTCCAGGCCCCACCTGGGTATTTATGGGTTTTCAACTCTCACTAAAACCAGGGACATTAAAATTGAAAAGCAGGCAGGAGGGGAATAGAAAGTTTTTTTTAAAAAAAACTTGGACAAAATGACATCTAAATGTCACAAATGCTGGAAAGATGATATTAAAACTAGACATATTGATACTCAGCAGGTATTATCTTTATAAAGAGAAACACAGAATTATTGTTTTGATGTCTGTGATCATAACTGAAAATATTCCTCCAAAACCAGAAGAGCAGAAGTAAGCCATTCAGCCCATCGAGGCTGCTCTAGCATTTAATCAGCTCGCAGCCGATCTGATAATCCTCAACTCCGCTTTTTCCCCATAGCCCTTGATTTTCCCCCTTACTGATTTTAAAAAATCAGCCGAGAGAGATGATAAGCTAGGAAATAAACGCTTGGTAGGGTGCTAATGGTGAGGGTAAGTGACATGGAGGGTGATCACGTTCTGAAATGATTAAACTTAATGTTGAATCCTGAAGGCAGTAATGTGCCTAGCCAGAGGATAAGGTGCTGTTCTTCCACTTGCACTGAGATTCTCTGGAGCACTGCAGGAAGCCAAGACTGATGCTGGTCAAGGAACATGGCAGACAAACAGGAGGCTGGAAGAACACAGCATGCCAGGCAGCATCTGGAGGAAAGGAGAAGGTAACGTTTCAGGTATTACCCTTCTTCAGGACTGTATGGAGCATTGAAGGTGGGTCCAAATTTTGAGGTTTAAAATGCACCTGTAGGCCTTGAGGGATGAGAATGGTGGTAAAGACAGGTGAAGGTCACATGGCTGTTGTAGCGGGTTTGTTTCACGCTGTGTTCAAAGAGCTGAAGAGGTACAGCAGTGAGAAAGGGACTCAGAGTTCACGTCTGAGGGAGGCAGAGAACCTGTTCCAAAGTGGGCATCCTTTGACAAGACTTTGTAGTGGCAAAACTTAAGAGTCCTGAAGAAGGGTAATACTCAAAACGTTGACTTCTCCTTTCCTCCAGATGCTGCCTGGCCTGCTGTGTTCTTCCAGCCTCCTGTTTGTCTACCTTGGATTCCAGCATCTGCAGCTTTTTGTCTCTTAGGCAGGGAACATGGTGGGGTGTTGAAGAGGCAGGCAATTGGAAGATCAGGGTCACTTACGAACCAATGGTACAGATCTAGTCTGCGTCTTGTTTTCCAAGTGTGGAGGAGACCACATTGTGAGCTATGAATGCAGTAGAATAGATTGTGTGAAGTGCAGGTAAAGTGTTGCTTCACCTGGAAGGTGTGTTCGGGCCCTTGGATACTGAGGAAGTAAATGGGCAGGTGTTACCCCCTCTAGGGTTGAAGGGGAAGGTGCCATGGGGGTATTGGGAGTGGAGGAGGAGTGGACCAGCGTGTCCCAGATGGAATGCTCCCCGTGGAAAGCTGACAAGGGAGGGAAGGGGAATATGTGCCTGGTGGTGGCATCGCACTGGACATAGCAGAAGTTGTGGCTAATAATCCTTTGGATGCGGAGGGTGGCAAGGTTAAAAGTGAGGACCACAAGGACCCTAAAGTTGTTGAGGGAGGAGAAAGGGTGAGGGCAGAAGCATGGGAAATGGGTTGGACATGGCTGAGCGGCAGGGAAACGGAAGATGTGTCTAGAAGAGGTTGGAACAGTGGCCACTGTTTGAGCTATTAAAACAATGTGGGACGTAGGGGCAGATTTACACTTTGGCTCCTACTCCCAGGTGCAGGATTTTATCCCAGAATATTTCATAGTTCATAGAATCCCTACAGTGTGGAAACAGGCCCTCCGGCCCAACACATCCACATCGACCCTCAGAGCATCCCACCCAGACCCATCCCCCTATAACCCATCTAATCCACCCGAACTCTACAGGGTAATTTAGCATGGCCAATCCACCTAGCCCGCACATCTTTGGACTGCAAGGGTTTCACGGCAAAAGCTGTGACTCAGCCTGTGCTTCTTTGCTGAGCCATTTTCAGAGTTTGAGGGAGAGAGAGAGGCATTATCTCTGGGAAATGTAACTGATTGCTCCCATACACTAATAGTTCACTCGCCCATCAGCAGCAAAGTAGGTCACTGAGCTTTCAATCCCATGTCCCTTCGCTTTGAACATTATAAAGTGCTGAAGGCAGTCGGCAATGGTGTCATCGGCATGCCCATTCAGTGACCTACATTTTGCCTTCATTTCTTCTGCCTTTATTTTGTTTCTCCTGAACTCGGACTCCCAGCTGGGGCATCTCTTGATTATTCACCCATCACCTGAGACTCTGATTATTCATCAACCATTCGAATATTTAGGAAAACACAAACAATTGAAATGCCAATGCCAAAAGAGCAATCCTGCTTAGAAATTGGGGGGAAAAGAAAAATCAAATCACTTTGCGGAAAAGAAAATAGAAAAACAAAGGTGCGAATGCTGGAAAGCAGAAATCACTTTGAATGCCGCTCTAAACTCAGACATTTAAATAAAGTTAACCCCATGCTATTCCTGTTCTTGGTAGAGTTTGGTGAGGAGCATTGTGAAGGGAGCTTTATTATGTATCTAACCCTGTGCTATCCCTGTCCTAAGAGTTCGATGGGGACAATGTAGAGGAAGCTTCACTCTCTATCTAACCACGTACTGCCCCTGTCCTGGGAGTGTTTGGGGACAGTGCAGAGGGAGCTTTGCTCTGTATCTAGCCCTGTGCTGTCACTGTCCTGGGAGTGTTCCAAGGGGACAGTGTAGCGGAAGTTTTACCCTGTATCTAACCCTCTGCTGTCCCTGTCATGGAAGTGTTTGGGGACAGTGTAAAGGTAGCTTTACTCTATATCTAACCTTGTTGTAATATCTGGGTGACTCTCCAGCTCTGCACTGTCCCTTCACCTTTGCTGCCCAGTCTCCAGCTCCAAGCATTAGTCCCATAGCCTTGTCCTTCAATATCCATCTCCTGAATTTGAAAGGCTCCTGCAGACTGAGCTCTGAATCGTCGACCTCAAGCTTTTCTCTCTACACCTGTCCGATGCCTCTTCCTCCTCCTGGAGCATTCAGTGCGATGGTTTCAGATTCTTGCCTTGTTTCTCTGATTAACAAAGAGACCTTGGCATGCAGATGCATAGTTGTTTGAAAGTGGAGTCGCAGGTAGACAGGATAGTGAAGAAGGCGTTTGGTACGCTTGCCTTTACTGGTCAGTGCATTGCGTATAGGAGTTGGGAGGTCATGTTGTGGCTGTACAGGACATTGGATAGGCCACTTTTAGAATACTGCATTCAATTCTGTTTTCTCTGCTATAGGAAAATTGTTGTTAACTTTAAAGGATGCAGAAAATATTTACAAGAATGTTGCCAGGGTTGGAGGATTTGAGCTATAGGGAGAGGCTGAATAGACTGGGGCTATTTTTCCTGGAGCATTGGAGGCTGAGGGGGTGACCTTATAGAGGCTTATAAAAACATGAGGAGCATGGATATAGTGAATAGTCAAGGTCTCTTCCCTGGGGTGGGGGAGTCCAAAACTAGAGGGCACAGGTTTAAGATGAGAGGGGAAAGGCATAAAAGGGACCTAAGGGGCAACTTTTTCAAGCAGAGGGTGTTGCGTGTATTGAATGAGCTACCAGAGGAAGTGGTCGAGGCTGGTACAATTACAACATTTAAAAGCTATGTGGATGAGTACATGAACAGGAAGAGTTTAGAGGGATATGGGCCAAATGCTAGCAAATGGGACTAGATTAATTTTGGGACATTCTCTGAAGAAGGGTCCAGACCCGAAACGTCAGCCTTCCTGCTCCTCTGATGCTGCATTCATCCAGCTCTACACCTTTTTATCTCAGATTCTCCAGCAACAGCAGTTCCTACTATCTCTGCACAGAAGGATATTTCAATTCTATTTGAGTGAATGGGACCAGCTGTTTCTGTACACAGCAGATCTCCCATCTGATTTTTGGTGAAGTGGGTTGCATGTGGAATATTAACCAGGTCAGTGTTGAGCTTCCTGGGCATTTCATCTGAGAGCACCATAACCACTTGGAACACCAGAGGGAGCCTGGGTTTAATTCCTCATCTAAAACAGAGTGCCTCAGACAGTGCGACACCACCCCAGGAGCCAGATTGGAACCCACAGATAACCTTTGAGAGAAGCTAACGTGTATTGGACAGATTTTAGTTTCTCCTTTGTTGTGGCTCAGTTGCACTATTCCTTTTCTTGCCATCAGAAGGTCCTAAATTCAAATCCTAATCCAGCAATGTAAATATAAAACTCAAGGTTGATGTACAGCTGGAGGTAGCTGACGTTTTGGTGAAATGTTACATCTAGGACAGTCAGGTGGATGTGAAATATCCTTTGGCACTATTTTACAGTACACCTGGGGATTTTTACCTAATGTCCTGATCAAATTTAACACTCAGCAATAAAAAAAAAACAAAGTTCTGAAGAAGGGTCACTGGACCCGAAACGTTAACACTGCTTTCTCTCCACTGATGCTACCAAACCCGTTGAGTGTTCCCAGCAGTTTCTGTTTTTGTCCCTCAGCCAATGTCTCAAAATAAAACATGTTCTGGTTGTTATCATGTTGCAATTTGTGGGATCTTGCTGTGTGCAACTTGGCTGCCTTGTTTCCTGCTTACAAAATGATGACTCTTTCCAAAGCAATTGATTGGCTGGAGAGCACTTTGAGCTGCCTCGTGGTGGTAAGGGGCGATATGGAAATGCAAGTCTTAATGCTTGGCATCTTTCCTTTTGGGCACAGACGAGACGGAGTGGACTTCCTGGTTCAATATCGATCACCCTGGTGGGAATGGAGACTTTGAGCGGTTGGAAGCCATCCGCTTCTATTACCGGGAACGAGTGTGCGCTCGGCCACGGTCCATCGAGGTCCGTACAACAGAATGGGTGAAAGCAGAACAAACCGGGGAAGTTGTCCATTACAGCCCTGACAAGGGCTTCTGGTGCATCAACAAGGAACAGCCCGAGGGCAGGATTTGCTCCAATTACCACGTCCGATTTCAATGTCCTGTAGGTAGGTGCCATGCCTCCTGGTCTCGTACCAACATTCCTTTCCAATGTCATTTTTTTGTTCT